GTCATCGACAAAATGATGCTTTGGGTCACGGTGGGTGCAAAGAAATTAGGGTCATTGTGGTTGGAAGAGTAACCCCGTTGATTTTATTGTGGGAACCTTGTAACTCAAACACTATTCTCTTTTAATTAATATAGTGGTGCCTCGATTTAGAAAAAAACAAGTAATACTACTTTAGTGTAATTTCTCCAATTTTCGTACCAACGTACTGATATTTGACACCCTAGGTACTTAGTTCCAAGGTTCGCCACTGATTTGCATCACTTGTCTCATGCAAAGTATTCCTTAATTCTTAGTATTCCTTGAACTAAAACATTTTCTCTATCTTCCAACAATTTGTCAGATGTGCATTAGGGCAAGTATCGAGCCATGGGTAGAGAACCCCTAGGGTTTTAAAAAACATCTTTGCTAAGTCTCAGTCGACTGAGATATAGCCACACCCGTCACGTGTGTTTTAGCGAAGGGTGTTGCTAGGTCTCACGGGTGTGTCTAGGTCTGAGTCGATTAAGATTTAACCAAGTCTTAGTCAAGTGACATAACTCGCAAGAGAGACAAATAAAAAAAACATAAAATAAGCATGGATCTCAATGTAAAATCTCATGGATATAGCATCGAAGTCCGAGTAGACCGAGACTTGCAAGACTGTTTAGCAAAACCCCCGCTTGATCGCCCGCAACCGCAAAGCACACGAGCGACCGAACCCGTTAAGAACGTCTTGGAGATTATTCGCTCAATCAAAAGAAAAGAAAAACAGCTTGGGCCTTGGAGACTATTGACCTTGCTGGCTGGGTAGAGTATTCCATCGCGCTCATGACCAAATCATTCGGCCCCACTCTCTCCCCGGAACCCAAGACTTGATCAAACTATTAAACCAGCCAATACTGTCGCACTTTGATCAAAAGATCCTTCCATTACTTTAAGCACCACCACCGTACGTACACACAGCCGGAGACCATCTCCGCGCGAGGATTTAAACGAGCGAGCCGATCGAGCAAAGGCATTAAAACTCGGACAGGTCTCCGGCGGTACGTGACGCCAACCTCGCGGGAAGCGCCGGCGTCTGCGCGCGTGCGATCATGATGATGAGGCGCCAGTTATCGGTCTGCGTCCTCCTCCTGCTCGTGCTCGCGGGGCAGCAGCAGGCGGCGGCCAAGAAGTACGCCGCCATCTTCAACTTCGGGGACTCCCTCGTGGACGCCGGCAACCTCGTCGTGGACGGCATCCCCGAGTACCTCGCCACGGCGAAGCTGCCGTATGGCATGACCTACTTCGGGTACCCCACCGGCCGCTGCTCCGACGGCCGCCTCGTCGTCGACTTCATCGGTAATTCATTGATTAAGCTGGATGATCATCATCAGTTCCTCGCATGGTTGGTTACTCTCAGCTCAGCTAGCGACCGTCATTATCTGAACTGTGTTTGGATTGTCTTTTGTGTGCATGAACAGCGCAGGAGCTGGGGCTGCCGCTGCTGCCGCCGTCGAAGGCGCGCAACGCCACGTTCCACCACGGCGCCAACTTCGCCATCACCGGGGCCACGGCGCTGGACACCAGCTACTTCGTGGCGAAGGGGCTGGGCAAGACGGTGTGGAACTCCGGCTCCCTGCACACCCAGATCAAGTGGCTGCAGGAGATGAAGCCCAAAATCTGCAGCTCCCCCGAAGGTTGGTTGGTCATCGATCCATACATGCATCTTGATTAGTTACTTCAACGTGTAAGCTGATGTGCATGCATTGCGCGCGCCTGCCGGCTTGGTTTGATCAGAGTGCAGGGGCCTGTTCCGGCGGTCGCTGTTCATCGTGGGCGAGTTCGGCGGCAACGACTACAACTCGCCGCTCTTCGCGTTCCGCCCGCTGGAGGAGGTGCACGAGTTCGTGGGGGACGTCGTCAACTCCATCGGCGAGGGAATCGAGGTAATTAAGCGCGCATGCATCCACGTGAGTCCCCGGCCGCCGGCCTGCCGTTCAATTATAAAAATCTCATTGCCGGCCGGCGCGCTCGACGATCGATCGTGCAGAAGCTGATTGCGGAGGGGGCCGTGGACCTGGTGGTGCCCGGGGTGCTCCCGATCGGCTGCTTCCCGGTGTACCTGTCCATCTTCCGGAAGCAGCCGGAGATGTACGGCGGCAAGAGCGGGTGCATCAAGGACCTCAACACGCTGTCGTGGGTGCACAACGTGGCGCTGCAGCGCAAGATCGTGGAGCTCCGGAAGAAGCACTCCGACGTGCGCATCATGTACGCCGACTACTACACGCCCACCATCCAGTTCGTCCTCCACGCCGAGAAATGGGGTGAGTCAACCGTCTCCCTCTCTCCTCCCTCTGTCTCCCGCCCTGGTTTTGTCTTGGCTGTCCGTCGTTTCATCTGTCTGAGTTCCCTCCCTGGCCCGGTCACGGCAGTTTGCGTCTTGGTAGTTTGTTCGGTTCGTTTCGGCAACGCGGACGGCCGCTGACACGCTGGGCCCACCACCTGTCCACGCCACCTTTTTTAAAGAAAAAAAGGGACATAAATCACTTTCACTTCTATTCCAAGAAAACTCATAAAAAAAACTAACAAAAGCCCGGGCTTGAATTTTGTAAGGGAATTTGAATCAACGACGCCACACGAGTAATTATTCATGAGGTGGCGTGAATCGTGACCACCACAAGCATAGGAGGGGAGATGGGGAAGGGACGGGAGAACAAAAGAATCAACGGGGTGACGGGCGCGCGCATGCATTTCCGGGCGAGCAATCCAAACCGGTGGTTGGCCCGAACGCTCCTATTTTTGAGAGGTTCCGTGAGCAAATGCACAGAGACCACGGACCCTTCTCGTGAACGGGATGCGAGGATAAATTTCCCTGAAAAAGAAGCTTCGCTGTGCAGCTACTTGCGTTGGCCGGCATGGCATGGCTCGGTCGCGTCGTCAACATTGCAACCGATTAAGAAACGTGGCCGGGTACTCGATCCCACCGATACTAATTTCGTAGGCACGTACGTGATGCATGACGAGGTTGATGTGACACCTAACTAAACGACCGATGACATATCTAGCCAATCGATCAATGCAGCCCCACCCCCATACTGCTACATTCTTTTGTCCTGAATGTTTTAGGTGCTATTTATGTGATGTGCTCAATTTATCCAGGCAAAGTATTGAAACAAAATCAGTCGAAACCGCGTGTATAAAAATTACTACTCCTAGTACAATAACTGTGTTGGCATGAGTATCTCTTTCTAATTTATTTGGTTACACATGGTAGAGACGGCTAAGCCGCGTATATATCAAAAAATGCCTGCTAGTTTTATTATTGTATCCCGAAGTCTCACTGGCGCCTTGGTTGCTGATCCATGTGATCCGTAGAGCATTGACCTATTGATGATCAACTGATAGCAGTTGCATAACATGGACGGCTAACAATTTGGGATTTAACTGAGGCAATTGGAATGTTGGGTTTTATGTTGGACTCAAGTGCCATCATTAGAAAAAGGATGAAAACAAATGCATAGAATCGGCCGGCCCTAATGATACTTTAAAGTTACTGTAGTGCACTTGTTGGAAGTTTAAACATAACTAGGAAGTGCAAACTACGATCATCCGAAAGTACAAAAGCAAAACAACACATATATCGAAAATACTTGTCATCAAAATGGACAAAAATGAATGTATCTAATACTAAAATGCGTCTAGATACATTCCCTTTTATTCATTTTGATGACAAGTATTTCCGGACGGAGGGAGTAGCTGTGTGGTTACACCTGTATTTGGGGCCATCCACTTGGCATATTCACCTTGTCTGTACTGTACATTTGGGAAGTCTTCCCTATCGTTTTCGTCCCCCTAATCAAGTAATCATACAGCAATCAGGCACAGCCAAGCATGCATTATTCGTCCAACTTGGTCTTGGTTCTAGTACATGGTAGTATCACAGATATGTGTGCACATCAGTGTAATTTCTAATAAGGAGAAAACGACCGCTCGATGTGATCAATTATGTGTAGATTCAGTCCAACAGGCCGATTATTTTTCTTTATAGAAGAAGAAGAAATTGGGCAGGCAGCTGGTGTGCCGCTGTGCACTGATTCCTCACGGCGCTCATTTTCAATGCTGAATTTGTGATGATGACCCTGAAAATGCTGCTATAAATAATTATATATTCTCCATGCCCGGTCAATTTGGAATAGCGCTGCTTAATTAGTCGAAGACGTATTCCGCAATGCTCTCTGTCCGGTCCATTTTAGTTGCCTCTCCCACGAAAGAGCAGGCAAAAGGGAGGGTGTCTGAGAAGTATGACGCACGTTGTGATCCGGGCAATCCGGGTTGGAATCGGACAACGCATTCTAGACATTTGTCTATCTTATCTACTACTATCTGTGTGAGCGACCATAATGATAAAGGGTTGTGATGGATGTGTTGCAGGGATGCTGAGGCAGAAGCCGAGGGCGTGCTGCGGGGCGCCGGGCGTCGGGGTGTACAACTTCAACCTGACGTCCAAGTGCGGCGAGCCCGGCGCGTACGCGTGCGACGACCCGTCCAACCACTGGAGCTGGGACGGCATCCACCTCACGGAGGCCTCCTACGGCCACATCGCCAGGGGCTGGCTCTACGGCCCCTTCGCCGACCCGCCCATCGTCGGCAACCGGAACCTCGAGTAGCACTGTAGCAGCAGTAGTACAGGGCTTGTTTTTGCGTACATGCACATGGGTTACTGTATGTAGAGAAAGGAAAAGAAATCAAAGAACAGACATGTCTTGTGCAGATTAATTAATTATTAATTAATTGGTTCTGTTTGTGTTATTTTATCCCTTATTTGAAATTTATATTTTTTAAGAAAAAAAACTAAATATGATGCCGTTTCGTAAAAAGACGGTCTAAATAGGGCATGCGCCTCTGAGTTCCTCTGGTCCGCTCGTGTTTTAGGCATGGAGCCTCATCAAAAGGAACCCTTTGCTCTGCATCCCCACCAGCTTGGCACACCAATAAGGAGGAACCGTCGTAGGTCACCTCGTATCAAGTTTCTTTGTTTCTCTGTTCTTTCCTTGGAAGAACACAGGAGGGAGGAGCAGGCATGGGGAAGGTGAGCATGCAGCAGCTTGCGCTAGTGGCCCTGGTGCTGGCAAGCCTCGTGTTGTCGGCCCAGGAGGCCGACGGGGCTCGGCCCGAGTCGACCGGCGGCGTCATCAGCTACCGTGCTCTCGTGTGCGCGGGAATAGCGCCAACACCTCCGACGCCAACGTCCGGCCTTCTGCGGTGGCCAACCCTTACACGCGCGGCTGCAGCAAGATCAACCGTTGCCGCGGTTGATGCGTGCCTGCGTGTGTATCTCTTGTTTTGCTCGAACGTTCGAACGTTGATCCCGTGTGCAAGCCAGGAGTATGATACAACACGCTCGCTTCTTTCATCAATACAAGATCATGCAGTGTTTTCTCTGAATCGATCTGTTTAAAGATTGATCAAATCCATAAAAAACATTGGCATCAACACTACCAAATCAATTTCACTAGGTCTATTACGAATATGTTTTCATAAGGCGTTATTGACTTCTCCGGAAAAAATGCGTTATTGACTAAATGTATATATCGATACTTTCTATAAAGTTTACCAAACTTGAACACAGTTTAACTTAAGACAATATTAACCTTGTATAGATGATCGAAAACATTACTATTGAGTTGGGGCAATTTCCCAACTACATATATGGACGCCAGTACAGATGGATAACGAGTGATCCACATCCCAACCGGCATCTGCACGACGCGGGCTTCTGCAATGTTTGTCGCCAATGTCAAGCTAACCTGTCGCTGATGTCGGTTTGGTCGATTGTTTGGCATGTATCATCGTAGGGTTCATGTGTTTGTTGCGGCAAGGGCTATCTTGTTGGTTGTCTACAATGAAGTTGGAGTCATTGTCTCAAGGAGGGGTGATTGATAACGACACGTGTAGCCAACCTTGACAAGTCTTTTTCTTGGCGCCGACGGCTTGCGTGTTTTGCGTTGATAGCCAAGGGGGCTAATGGTGTCGTATGCTGTCATGTCCATGACGACATTTATGGGCATTTCTAAAGGGTTTCATCCCTTTTTTCAACGTTAATTGAGCGAATATGTTTTAAAGAAATGAAAATGGTAATTGTTCGCCTTGTTTAAAAAATGTATAAGAGCCACATGTTATTTTTCCCTATTTCTGTTACGGTCGCATCAAGATCCTGAGAACCGAAATGCTCATCTAATGTCAGACAATGTGGTCCCTGTATTTTAGGGACAATGTGGTCCCCGTTTGCCATTATTAGAGAAAGCAAAGAGCCCAAGACCATTGAGCAAGGGAAAAAACTAGTAACCCTCTATAATTCATAGGAAAGGTGAAGGACAATATGGAAATAGGAATTCATTTTTCCTTTGATTAGACTATATATCCATTGAGTCAAAGGAATGAAACATAGGAAGAGTAAACGAATTTTCCTCTGGTTTGAGTTTCATAGTAAAAGCAAAGAAATCTTACACTCCATTTCCTTTATGGTGAAAACCCTAGCCTCTACATCTTCCAAACTTTTTAACCTCCTTTTTTTGCGTTCCTACTCACATACAAGAATGGTTCAAAAGGACGTGGAGTATTTGAGATTGGGCTCAAATGAGCCCACATGAACAGTGACAACAACAACAACAACAACAACAACAACAACAACAACAACAACAACAACAAAGCCTTTAGTCCCAAACAAGTTGGGGTAGGCTAGAGGTGAAACCCATAAGATCTCGCAACCAACTCATGGCTCTGGCACATGGATAGCAAGCTTCCACGCATCCCTGTCCATAACTAGCTCTTTGGTGATACTCCAATCCTTCAGGTCTCTCTTAACGGACTCCTCCCATGTTAAATTCGGTCTACCCCGCCCTCTCTTGACATTCTCCTCACACTTTAGCCGTCCGCTATGCACTGGAGCTTCTGGAGGCCTGCGCTGAATATGCCCAAACCATCTTAGACGATGTTGGACAAGCTTCTATTCAATTGGTGCTACCCCAACTCTATCTCGTATATCATCATTCCGGACTCGGTCGTTCCTTGTGTGGCCACACATCCATCTCAACGTACGCATCTCCGCCACACCTAACTGTTGAATATGTCGCCTTTTAGTTGGCCAACACTCAGCGCCTTACAATATTGCGGGTCGAATCACCGTCCTGTAGAACTTGCCTTTTAGCTTTTGTGGCACTCTCTTGTCATAGAGAATGCCATAAGCTTGGCGCCACTTCATCCATCCGCTTTGATTCGATGGTTCACATCTTCATCAATACCCCCATCCTCCTGCAACATTGACCCCAAATACCGAAAGGTGTCCTTCTGAGGTACCACCTGGCCATCAAGGCTAACCTCCTCCTCCTCACACCTAGTAGTACTAAAACCGTACATCATGTACTCGGTTTTAGTTCTACTAAGCCTAAATCCTTTCGATTCCAAGGTTTGTCTCCATAACTCTAACTTCCCATTTACCCCCGTCCGACTATCGTCAACTAGCACCACATCATCCGCAAAGAGCATACACCATGGGATATCTCCTTGTATATCCCTTGTGACCTCATCTATCACCAATACAAAAAGATAAGGGCTCAAAGCTGACCCCTGATGTAGTCCTATCTTAATCGGGAAGTCATCAGTGTCGACATCACTTGTTCGAACACTTGTCACAAACATTATCGTACCTATCCTTGATGAGGGTAATGTACTTTGCTGGAGCTTTGTGTTTCTCCAAGGCCCACCACATGACATTTCGCGGTATCTTATCATAGGCCTTCTCCAAGTCAATGAACACCATATGCAAGTCCTTCTTTTGCTCCCTATATCTCTCCATAAGTTGTCGTACCAAGAAAATGGCTTCCATGGTCGACCTCCCAGGCATGAAACCAAACTAATTTTTGGTCACGCTTGTCATTATTCTTAAGCGGTGCTCAATGACTCTCTCCCATAGCTTCACTGTATGGCTCATCAGCTTAATTCCACGGTAATTAGTACAACTCTGAACATCCCCCTTGTTCTTGAAGATTGGTACTAATATACTACGTCTCCATTCTTCTGGCATCTTGTTTGCCCGAAAAATGAGGTTGAAAATCTTGGTTAGCCATACTATCGCTATGTCCCCGAGCCCTTTCCACACCTCAATTGGGATACAATCAAGGCCCACCGCCTTGCCTCCTTTCATCCTTTTTAAAGCCTCCTTGACCTCAGACTCCTGGATTCGCCGCACACACATGAACAGTAAAATTGAAAAAAATACAAAAAAAATCTGGTTTTTTTGTGATGAACTTTGACAAATTTTCTAAGTGCTTGCAAATTTTCATCACGAGATCACATTCGAGGAAGGCATGACAAAAAAAATAAAAAATGATGTTATGAAAATGCTACTTTCGAAAGCATTTTGGAACACTAATTTTGTTTTTTTGGCACGCCTTCCACGAATGTGATCTCATGATGAAAATTTGCAAACACTTAGAACAATTGCCAAAGTATACCACAAAAAAGTTTCATATTTTTTGAATTTTTTACGAATTTACTGTTCATCAGGGCTCAAATGAGCTCGAGATCACAATGATACTTTCGGGTTCAAAATGCCATAAGTTGCGCAATGACACCTAAGGGCGTGGCTAGGGATCAGGAGACTGAATTTAGAATTCCCTTCCTAAGGAGATCGATGACGTGCTAATGAGCATGAAAGCGGACACGACTGCCGGGCCCGGACGGGTGGCCGGTGGCTATGTTCAAACACTTCTGACCATTGCTTAGGGGCCCCATTTTTTAGGTGTGTAACAGCTTTATGCGCGGTACAGTAGACATCGCTCGCCTTAACTTTGGCATTCTCTTGCTTATTCCCAAGGTGGCTAGGGCCGACAACACTCGTCAATTTAGACCAATCGCGCTCAGTAACGTGTTGTTCAAGATATGTTCCAAGGCGTGTACGGCTCATTTGGTACCGATCGCACATCGAACGATTAGTCGAACACAGTCTGCCTTCATTCACGGGCGTAACATCCTGGAGGGCCCGCTTGCCCTTCAGGAAATCATCACGATCTCAAACGCACGAAAGAGTCGGCCATTCTGCAAAAACATGACTTTGAAAAGGCTTACGACCGAGTAAATTGGGATTTCCTGTGTCAAGTCCTTCTAAGTCGTGGCTTCTCGGCCGTCTGCATCCATAGAGTGATGCAGCTGGTCTCGGGCGACCAAACTGCAATCTTTGTTAACGGGGAAGTAGGGCACTTCTTCCGTAATAGACGCAGACTACGTCAGGGCGACCCCATGTCCCCGATTCTGTTCAACTTTGTGGTCGATGCACTGGCGACAATGTTACAAAAAGCTACCGAGGTCGGCCACATTAAAGGGGTGGTTGGACACCTAATCCCCCGGGGGGGGGTCCCACTTACAGTACGCAGACAACACGCTGCTGCTCTTTCAGCTTGACCCACATACCATAGCTACGGTGAAGGCCCTCCTGCTCAGTTTCGAGCTTATGTCAGGTCTAAAAATCAACTTCCACAAATGTGAAGTTCTTTCCATGGGGGTGGAAACTGACGAGGGACGTCGCATTGCAGACATGCTCAATTGTAAAGTTGGGAAATTTTCTTTTACTTACTTAGGTCTACCCTTAGCCACCAAAAGGCTACGATAG